GGGGAATTCTACTAAACTTTCAAAGATGAAATAACACCTATTTTCCTGAAGCTGTTTCAAAAAATTGAAGCAGAAGGAAAATGTTCAGACTCTTTCTATGAAGCCAGCATTACCCTGATCCCCAAACCAGGCAAAGACCCTACCAAAAAGGTAATTTCAGACCAATATCACTGATGAATATGGATGCTAAGATTCTCAACAAGATCCTAGGAAACAGGATCCAACACTACATTAAAAAGATTATCCACCATGACCAGGTGGGATTCATTTCTGGGCTACAAGGATGGTTCAACATTCGCAAATCAATCAATGTGATAGAACAAATTAATAAGAAAAGAGAGAAGAACCACATGGTCCTCTCAATTGATGCAGAAAAAGCATTTGACAAAATCCAGCATCCATTCCTGATTAAAATGCTTCAAAGTATAGGGATAGAGGGAACATTCCTGAACTTCATAAAATCTATCTATGAAAGACCCACAGCAAATATCATCCTCAATGGGAAAAAGCTTGCAGCCTTCCTATTGAGATCAGGAACACGACAAGGATGCCCACTCTCACCACTCTTGTTCAACATAGTATTAGAAGTCCTAGCAACAGCAATCAGACAACAAAGAGAAATAACAGGTATCCAAATTGGCAATGAAGAAGTCAAACTCTCTCTCTTCGCAGATGACATGATTCTTTATATGGAAAACCCAAAAGACTCCACCCCCAAATTACTAGAACTCATACAGCAATTCAGTAATGTGGCAGGATACAAAGTCAATGTACAGAAATCAGTGACTTTCTTATACACTAACAATGAAAATACAGAAAGGGAAATTAGAGAATCGATTCCATTTACTATAGCACCAAGAACCATAAGATACCTGGGAATAAACCTAACCAAAGAGGTAAAAGGATCTGTACTCAAGGAACTACAGAACACTCATGAAAGAAATTGAAGAAGACACAAAAAGATGGAAGACTATCCCATGCTCTTGGATCAGAAGAATAAACATTGTTAAAATGTCTATACTGCCTAGAGCAATCTATACTTTTAATGCCATTCTGATCAAAATTCCACCAGTATGTTTCAAAGAGCTGGAGCAAATAATCCAAAAATTTGTATGGAATCAGAAGAGACCCCGAATCACTAAGGAAATGTTGAAAAACAAAAATAAAACGGGGCATCACGTTACCTGATTTCAAGCTTTACTACAAAGCTGTGATCACCAAGACAGCATGGTACTGGCATAAAAACAGACACATAGACCAGTGGAACAGAGTAGAGAGCCCAGATATGAACCCTCAGCTCTATGGTCAAATAATCTTTGACAAAACAGGAAAAAATATACAGTGGAAAAAAGACAGTCTCTTCAATAAATGGTGCTGGGAAAACTGGACAGCTATATGTAGAAGAATGAAACTAGACCATTCTCTTACACCGTACACAAAGATAAACTAAAAATGGATAAAAGACCTCAACATGAGACAGGAATCCATCAGAATCCTAGAGGAGAACATAGGTAGTAACCTCTTGGATATCAGCCACAGCAACTTCTTTCAAGATATGTCTCCAAAGGCAAAGGAAACAAAAGCGAAAATGAACTTTTGGGACTTCATCAAAATCAAAAGCTTCTGCACAGCAAAGGAAACAGTCAAGAAAACAAAGAGGCAACCCACAGAATGGGAGAAGATATTTGCAAATGACAGTACAGACAAAAGGTTGATATCCAGGATCTATAAAACAGACAATCATATAAAAAAAATGGGCAGAAGAAATGAACAGACACTTCTCCAATGAAGACATACAAATGGCTATCAGACACATGAAAAAATGTTCATCATCACTAGCCATCAGGGAGATTCAAATTAAAACCACATTGAGATACCACCTTACACCAGTTAGAATGGCCAAAATTAGCAAGACAGGAAACAACATGAGTTGGAGGGGATGTGGAGAAAGGGGAACCCTCTTACACTGTTGGTGGGAATGCAAGTTGCTGCAGCCACTTTGGAGAACAGTGTGGAGATTCCTCAAGAAATTAAAAATAGAGCTTCCCTATGACCCTGCAATTGCAGTACTGGGTATTTAGCCCAAAGATACAGATGTAGTGAAAAGAAGGGCCATCTGTACCCCGATGTTTATAGCAGCAATGTCCACGGTCGCCAAACTGTGGAAAGAACCAAGACGCCCTTCAATGGACAAATGTATAAGGAAGATGTGGTCCATATACACTATGGAGTATTATGCCTCCATCAGAAAGGATGAATACCCAACTTTTGTAGCAACATGGACGGGACTGGAAGAGATTATGCTGAGTGAAATAAGTCAAGCAGAGAGAGTCAATTATCATGTGGTTTCACTTATTTGTGGAGCATAACAAATAGCATGGAGGACAAGGGAAGTTAGAGAGGAGAAGGGAGTTGAGGGAATTGGAAGGGGAGGTGAACCCTGAGAGACTATGGACTCTGAAACAACAATCTGAGGGGTTTGAAGGGGCGGGGGATGGGAGGTTGGGGGAACCAGGTGGTGGGTATTAGAGAGGGCACAGATTGCATGGAGCACTGGGTGTGGTGCAAAAACAATGAATACTGTTACGCTGAAAATATATTTAAAAAATTAAAAGAAAAAAGAAAGATAAACTCATAGCCAGACTTATCAACAAGAAAAGAGAAAAGACCCAAATAGTTAAAATCACAAATGAAAGAGGAGGGGTCACAGCTAACACCACAGAAATACAAATAACTGTAAGAAAATGCTATGAAAAATTATATGCCAACAAATTGGGCAACCTGGAAGAAATGGACAGATTCTTAGAAATTTAGAAACTACCAAAGCAAACAGGAAGAAAGAGAAAATTTGAACAGATCCATAATCAGGAAAGAAATTGAATCAGTAACCGAAAATCTCACAGCAAACAAAAATCCAGGGCCAGATCACTTCCAAGGGGAATTCTACCAGACACTTAAAGGGAAGTTAATATCTATACTTCTCAAACTATTCCAAAAACATAGAAATGGAAGGAAAACTTCCAAATTCATTCTGTGAAGAAGCCAGCATTACCTCGATTCTAAAACTAGACAAAGACCCCACTAAAAAGGAGAATTAGAGGCCAATATCCCTGATGAACATGGATGAAAAAATTCTCAATAAAATACTAGCAAATCAAATTCAACAATAAGTTAAAAGAACTTTTCACCACCATCAAGTGGAATTTATTCTGGGGCTGTAGGGGTGATTCAATATTTGCAAATCAATCAACATGATACACCATATCAATAAAAGAAAGGATAAGAGCTACATGATCCTGTCAATAGATGCAGAAAAACATTGACAAAATACAGCATCCTTTCCTGATAAAAACCCTCAACAAAATAAGTATAAAGATTTATTTTTATTTTAACTGACATTTGGCAGATTATTATTTTTTTGTTACAATAATTATCTTTATGTGAGCAAGAATTTCCATCCCTTTAAGCTATCTAGTATTAAAGACTATGATTTGGTTCTATCAGATTAAGAGAGTTTCCTTTATTATGAACTGTTTTATTACATAATATTTATTTTCTGAGGAAGAATTGTCTCCTACCTCTCTGCAACACAAACACATATACTGCACACATATCTTTTAATATTTGATGAGTATTCACTATATTTCTTAAGCAACTGAGTATTTGTGTGTATAGAGAAAACAATGAAAATTGGACCTTGAAAAATTAAAACATTTAAATCAAAAACTAAAAATTTTGACTTTTATTACTTTTAATACTGTTGATATTCAGTTTTTGCAAAGAAAGAATTGAGGTCATAAAAAAAACCAAAGGTTTATCTTGAGTCTTTATGAATCTGAAACCAGGAGACAGATTCCAGAGGAATGGGAAATGTGCTTTGAGTGGGAAGAAGAAAGCCAGAGTTGATAAAGGCAAAAACCATAGACTTATATAAGTTGGTTTTAAAGAATTAAGATTTTAGAAGTGGGCTTGTAGGCTCCATTTTAGGGTCCCCTAAGTACTGACTTCATTTCAGATGTTTCTTTCTGTTCACAATTCCAATGAGAAGAACTATTTTTCTGTTGTCTTTGCTCCATATTTCCCAACATATAGAAATTCAATTTAACATGTCTTAATTTTAGCTATTTTCAAAATAACCACATGAATTTTCCCAATTATTCTTATGGCCCCCCACTTCCTTATTTCCACTCACCCCATAAATGACTGAGGAAGTAGATCAATTAGTTTGCCACTTCAGCAACTATCCCTAGTAGGAACCACTCTAGGAAGACATCTGCTCTCCCTTGTATCTGAAGAGGGCCCAGCATTCATCTGACTTCCCAGAAGTTTGCCAGGCTGCCTGGGAATAGCCCCTCTCCTGATGATGTGATTCCTGGGGTCTGGAGAGAAATATGGGGAAAGAAGCTGATCCCAGCTTGAAGTAGAAATAGAAAACTGAATTTGATTTTTTGGCAAAGATGTGCAATTCCAGGCAGGCATGCAGTGAAAAGTGATTGGAAGAAAGAAAAATAATTACCAGCATTATTAGTTATGCAGTATGTGCTCTATGCCAGGCTGGTGTAATCAAATGTCTTAAGTTCTATTCCTTAAAATCCGAGTAAGGGCCTTGTGCATGTAAGGTATTTCTGGGGACTCTCAGACATGCATGGTCTCCAGGTAGTTGAAAATAATCTCCTTCCCTCACCTCCAGTTGTCTCCATCTCTTCAGTACTTCCTAATGCATCTTTCATCCTCCTACCTTCTTCTTTAAAGGCAGCATAGCACAGTGGTAGTGATTGGAGACTTCAGAGCCATACTGCCTAGGCCAGAATCCCAGCATTATTGCTAGAAGCTTGGACAAGTTATTTAACTTCCATGTGAATCTATTTTTTTCATTTGAATATAGTAGTGCCTGCCGCATTTGGTCAATGCTTGGAAAGTGCAATGTTTGGAAAGTGATAATAGTGAATGGTATCCAATAAACACTGAATATGGTTGCACATCCCCTTAAGAAAACAAACAAAATCTCATTGAGGAAAAAATATTAAACACTTGTCCATGTGAGTAAAGGGAGGAACCAAGTTACTAAATGCTTTTTCTAAGTTCATGATCTTTCAAATTCAGGTTTCCTGACTACAAATCTTGGGATCTTAGTAAATCACCATATCCTTAATCTAAAGGCAATCCTCCTAAGCACTCCACAGGCAAAATAGAAGACATACATGTCTTAAAATAGATAAGTCTTGTTAAAAAATGTAATTTAAAACAAGATTGTGTGTTAGAATTAGAGACTTGGTAATATGGGACAAACTGGTAGAGTTTCAACATCAGATGTTTCTTAGTTGCAGCAGATTGTATTTTCCAAATATGTAGTTGTCAAATAAACTTATTTTCAAATGTGCATCCTGTATCTTCTTAAAAAGAAATGCTGGTTCTCCTCTTTAATTCGGTCAGGGTTTCAAGACATCCCCAATGAAGAGAGCATGGTGGAAGTGATAGCATGTGACTTCCCAGGTTAGTTTATTAAAAGATTAGTGCTATTTGTTGGGTCACTCCTTCTCTTGAAGATGGAACTTGGCAGCTTTATGCTGATAAATAAAAAGCTTGCCTACATAAAAATGTCATATTGAAAATATCATGTATTCAAAATATATAGGAATGGACAGAGAGCCCAAGGAGTCTTAGGTGCTCAGTGTATGACATTCTCAGCCTTGAGATAAATCTATCCCTTAGCCTTTGAACTGTCCCAGATGATGATGCCACATGAAGTTAAGACAAATTGCACATATGTGAACAACATAACTGCTTTAAAAAACATCCTTATTGAAATATATATAACATGCAATATAATTTATTTATAAACTGAACATTTCTAGGGTATTTGCTGTTTTCACAGAGTTGTGCAACCACCTCACAATGAGTTTTAGAATATTTAGAAACTCTGGACCATTAGCAGTTGCTCCTTATTGCCACAACCTCCTCTCACCCCCTAGTCTTAGAGAACTAGTTATTTTCTTACCATTGCTATAGATTTGCCTATTCTAGATATTTCTTATAAATGGAATCATACAATAGTCTTTTGTGACTGCCTTTTTAAATTTAGCTTAATGTTTCTAAGATTCATGAATGTTGTAGTGCCTATCACTACCTCATTTCTTTTCATTACTAAATAGTAATCAGTTGTATGGATACGCTACATTTTACTTATTCACTAATTAGTTGATGGACATTTGGGTTGTTTCCCATTTGGGGCTATTATAAATAATGATACTATAGATATTCATGTGCAAGTTTTGTGTGGTCATAAAATTTCATTTCTTTTAACTATACACCTAGGGATAGAATTGCTGTGTCATAGAGTAACTCTATGTTTAACTTTTTAAGAACGGCAGAACTGTTTTCCACAGTAGCTGCACCATTTTACATTCCCACCAGCAGTTTATGAGGGTTCTGTTTTTTTCACAACCTCACCAATGCTTGCTTTCTCTCTCTCTCATCCTAGTGGGTATGAAATGGTGTCTCACTGTGATTATGTTTACATTTGTCTGATGGCTAATGTTGAGCATACTTTCATGTGCTTATTGGCTATTTGAATCTCTTCTTCAGAAAAATGTCTATTCAGATATTTTGTCTTTTTGTTAATGGCATAATTTGTCATCTAATTAATAAGTTGTAAATGACTTTTATAATAGATTTCCTGAAATATCATTCACATACCATGAAATTAATCCCTTTGAAGGGGTTTTAAGTATATTCGCAGAGTTGTGCAACTATTACTATTATTTAACTTCAAAACACATTCATCATTCCTAAAAGAAACATTGTACTCATTAGCAGTCACTCCCCATTGCATCCCTCACCCAAATATGTGTTTAATTTCCACATGATTGTATTCTATAACTGTCTATAAGGTCTAGTTGCTTTATGGTGTTGTTCAAGCCTTCTAATTATTGTTCATCTACAAAGTATTGGAAGTAGAGTATTGAATTTCCAACTATTGCAGACCATTTAGTTGGATTGTGTTTTTCTCATCTTCTTCCTCCTTCCAATCCTTCTCCCCCTTCCTCCTCTACTTCCTATTCCTCTTCTTCTTTTTATTCTACCAATCTCTGTCCTTTGATCTGACTGTTTAATCCATTTACATTTCTGGCATTTACTTACAAGTAAGGATTTAGACTTACTATTTTTCTATTTGTTTTCTATCCAATCTGTCTTAGCTCAGGTTGCTATAACAAAAATTCCAGGGTGACTTACAAACAACAGAAATTTATTTCTCAAAGTTTGAGAGACTAGAAGTCCAAGATCAGGGTACCAGCATAATCAAGTTCTTGTGAAGGCCCTCTTCTGTACTGCTGATTTGTCACTTTATCTTCACATGGTAGAGAGCAGAGAAAGGAAGCAAGCCCTCTCATGACCCTATAAGGAATTACAAGGATTCTCATGATCTCAACTAATTTGAATTACCTCCCAAAGGACCACCTCCTGATACAATCACATGGGGGGAGGTCAACATACGAGGGTTTTAATACATGATTTTTGGTAGGACATGAATATTAACTCCATAACAAGGTTTTATGTCTGTCTTGCTCCTTTCTTGCACTATTACTGTGTATTACTTATTTACATAACTTAGCAGAGCCAAGACACACACAGATCTTACCAAACAGTAAGACCAAACCCTACTCAAAGATTTGGGAGAATGTTCCAGGCTGGACCCATGGCTCTTAAGCGCCTTCAGTTTCTCAGTTTTTGAACTGGTGGATCTATGGTAGCTCTCCTTTATTCATCCTATCATTGATGTAGGATGTGTGGGGACAGATAACTTTCAAAAGGACTGTATTTAAGGAGCTATAGTTGTGGATGCTCTGGACATCCTAGATAATGCCATAACAAGGTGAGATTTGGAAGTTTTGGTGAAGGGGATGACTGTATTTTTGATGTGAGATGGTTTTGAGTTATTATGACCAGAGGACCATTTCAGACTGTATTTTTCAAAAACAGATATACTAATAACTATTTCATCACACATCATCTCCCTATGATATGAAGTTGAAACTCTGCCATCAAGAGAGAAGATTCAGGTGCCCTCCTCTTGAACTTTGACAGATTTATGTAATGACCTTGACAAATAAAATGTGCCAGACATCTCACTGAGTGATTTACAAGTCAGATACCTCACTGAGTGATAAAATGTGATGTGGCTTCACCTGACTATCCCTCTTGAGACACATGTCTTAGGTGCCCTGAGATAACATGTAAGAAATATGAGTACATGGAAGACACCATACTGGAGGTAACATTTTGAGAGATCACATAGAGATAGAATGAGTTGCTTGGGAAGCTGTGCCAGGCCTCAGCTCTTTTAATCTTCCTAGAATCAACTCCCAGACAGCTGAGTGAAATAGTCTTAAAATATTCCATTCTCACCCTTTGAGACCTCCAACTCTTATACTAGACATTGTTAAGTAGGATAAGCCCTCGTTACTGTATTAGGTCAAAATTTTGTCACACTCATGACATAACAGATTGTATTATACAACTATATTTTGGGGTAAGATGTTAAACAAAATACCAATTATTTTAACCATAAATTTAGTATAAAATATAAAACTTTTGTTAAACTTGAACTAAATATCAGGGAAGTAACTGGGTGGCATTGAGGGCACTTGATGGAATGAACATTGGGTGTTATATGCAACTGATGAATCACTAAACTCTACCTCTGAAACAAATATTCCCCTGATTTTTTTTAATTGATTTTAAATTTTAAAAAATCTGGGGGATATTTGGTATTGAATTAGCAGTCAGAAAATAGTTATAGTCTGGGCCCTACCACTAAGTAACTTGTGACTTTGGACAAGTCATTTAATTTGGAGGCTTTTGCTATCTTTTCTATAAAAGTAAGAAAATGGACTAAATTACTGCTAATTCCTAGAAGCCTTTTTGTAATGGATATTTATATGAAACTTTCCAAATTTGTTTTATGTTTAACATTATATGCAACCTATTATAGAACAGGACACTGCAAAAACATGGATATTATTTGGTAAGAATGTGTGATTGACAAAGGAAGTCATTAATTTATAATTATGGTAAGTGCCAATAAAACCACTTAAGTAAATTTATTGTAATATAAGTAATGGTTATGTAACTAAAGATATGTTCAGTTATACAGAACTTAATGTCCATGCCTATATCCATGTCACTAGTGAGAAAGGACATTTTATAACTGTACTTCACGATTCTTCAGAAGATCCAGAATAATACTAGGTTATATTCACCTTATGATTTAGGCAAGGAAAAGAGACAGATTGGCTACAACAGAGGTCCTTTTGCCAAAGGGATAGAAAAATACTCTGGTAAATAAATCATTCTATGGGATGAGTCTGCATGATTCAATCTGAGTGTCCCGCTGTTAAGAGAGAAAGGGATTTTCAATACAATATAAGGTGTTTTACTTAAACATCTACAAATTTAGTGACCATATGACAGTAGCAGCTCTCATTCATGAGAGACCAAATATTGCCTAGTAATAGTGGAAGGGATGCAAATGAATGGCAAATTATTGGCAGGGATTCCTTTGTAGAATCTTTTGGGGAAAACACACCAGATATCAACACAGAGATAAATACAAGAAGTTGGAGGAGATAGAGCTAAGAGGAATACTTCCTTTTTCAACATAATATTTTGTTCTTAATCCAATGTTGTCCTGGGAAATTTTTTATCTAGATAAATTTGATTAAACAGTTATTAGAAACTTTTCAACAGATGCCAAAAAATTTGGCATGTTTCAGTTGATGGTTGTTAATTTCACATACCTAACATTCCCTACTCTTCAACACAAAGCTTATGTTTAAAAAAAATATATATATGCATATATATGCATATGAATATATATGTAATTAGTACTTTACTGTTGGTATGACAGCATTTTTTTTATTGTCCACAAGATGCCATGTATTTCTATTTTAGAGATATCTATAATTACTATACCTTTTATAAAATATTAAAAGTACTTGACATGATATTTTGTTTAAAATATTTCTGTTATTCTGAAGCTGGTGCATGGCTGTTCACATTGTATGCTTAGAGCTCTGGAGAGTAGAATGATTGAACTACCTATTTCAGATGTCTATAATAGTTTTGTTTATCTGAAATATACTAATCAATCATGGCAATCTTTTCCACTGAGCCTTGAAGAGCCTTCAAAATACTTCTCAAAACACCACCCTGGGCAATTGCTATCAATCTGTTTAAGCTAGCACTGGAAATGAAATATATTTTTCCATCTTTAGGTTAGAGCTACTCTACAGCAATAGCTACTCTCCTGATTTAGCAGTGTAGATACAAGACTTACTCAGAAAAGGCATAAGAATGTAAATCTTCTAGCCTGTTTACTTCCTAATATGAATGATAAATAACTCAATTGCTAGAGTTCTGGGAGTATATTTCAACTGTTCTTGCTATAAGTTCTCCTTTTCTCAAGGGTACACAGTTGGATTGCAATTTTTTCTCCTCTTTTAAAGTTGCTTATGCACATGTGACTTGTTCTTGCCAACACAATGTAAGCAAAAGTGATGTATATCTCTGGGCAAGTAAGTCCCCATGCCCTTGTCAATTTTGAATTATTTGTTGCAATGGAACCTCCATTAGCTTGAATCTGGAACGGCTACCATGAGAAGAACTCCTGCCAACATACCTTGGTGAGGTAGAAGAGAAACAAAAACTGTTTCATGCCATTGAGATTGAGGATCATTTGTCAAGGAAAATAACTAATACCATGTCTATCATAACTAATTCCGGAAACTGGTACCTAGAAGTGAGTGGCTGGCATTAAAAAAAACAACAATGATTATAACTAAAAGGTATACCTTTGACTTAAGAGCTGAGCAGTTGATGGCTTATGAGTCACTATCAGAGCCTGGAAAGATGGCAACCTATAATACCCACCAGAAAAATGCTTAAAGTGTCATTCATAGTAACTTTGGAGGTAGAATGTATGATTGATGAAATTATGTCTAGAGATTAGGAAACAGATTTTTTGTTTTTTTTTAGCATATTTCTGGTTTATGTCTGCTATGGTTGGCAAAGTATTAGAGAAGAGATTACCAAAGTAGTGTGGGACTTTCAGAAGTTGGACTAATGACCTCTGTGAGTTTACTCTTTCATGCAAGAAATAAAAATACTGCCAAACTATGATAATCAAACATTTTAGAACTTTTACAAATAACCAAAGGCACAGAAGAAAAACTGAAAAGCATTTATTGAGAAAAACTAATGAAACTTGGTAAGAACAGTGAGATCTTTGGCATTTTGCTTGGAGTTATCCACATCTCCTTTCCCCAACTCCATGGTGTGTAGTCAGGAGGGCTGGCAGACTCATAGCCAACAGAAGGATTTACCTCTTTGAGAGCTTGTGAAAAGCCCCATCTTTAGAAAACAGTATTTTTGATCTCTTTTGAAAAGCCCCATTCATAACCCTGTTGCTATTTGATCTTATTCCAAGCTCTAGTCTCTGGATAAAGTCCTATCCTCTGGGGCTTATTGAACACAATAATAATCACCTGGAATAGCTAACATCTCAGCTGAAAACTTATGTTCACACAAAAATCTGCATGCAAATGTTTATCCATAATTGGCAAAAATTTCAAGCAACCAAGCTTTCTTTCAATGGGCGGATGAATAAGTAAACAATGGTATGTTTATACAGTGTGTGTTATTTAGTGAATAAAGGAAATGCCCTTTCAAACTGCAAAAAGACAGTTTAATCTGTAATGCATATTACTAAATCAAAGAAGTTGGTATATAAAAGCTACATTTTATATGATTATATTATGTCAATCTAGAAAAGGCAAAATTATACATGCATTTAAAAGACTGGTGGTTTGCCACAGGTTCAAGTTTAAGAAGGGGAGTAGAATAAGTGAAGTACATGGGATATTTTTAGGATAATAAAGCTGCTATATGATAGTGTCATGGTGAGTATATGACAGCATGCATTTGTCAAAACCAATAGAACTTTACAGTCGATAGAATAAAACTTAATATATGCAATTAAAAAATCATTTAACAGGTCAGCAGATCTCAGTATGGAATGCAGAATGTGACAAAAGATTCTAAATGCATTACAAATATAGGAAACTACTGAAGGAAGTGGGGGAAGCAATAGTGAGCTAAATAATTTCAGAACATTTAGATCCTTGAAAGCCAAAGGTAAAGAAACTACAGATTTATATTCTAAATAATAAAGTTTCCCATTGCGTAAAGGTTAAGAATTCTGAAATCACTATATATTTATACTGGAATTAAACAATTAAGTAAATAAATGGCACATGGTGAGAGTCCAGTTTTTCACTATTGGAGTGAGAAGTTATAGATAAATAAGGGGAGGAGGCTAGAAAGATCCATGTTGAAACAGATTAAAGTTAGATGCAGCAATATGAACTTATGTTTAGCTTAAATACATGCAGATGATTACATATACAAGTGTTTGTGGATATATATGTACACACAAGCTAGTATAAACACACAGACACATATTTCTTGCACTGTCAGTTGAGTGGCCTAGAAATAATGGTACTTCACTAATTTCGCAAATGTTTATCCTATTGTATAGGGTTTTCCCTCCCACTTTTTTGTTAGTGTTCTTTGACACATAAAATTTTTAATTTGATGAAGTCTTATCTATCTATTTTATCTTTGATTACTGTGTGTTTGGTGTCATGATATACCTTTCTTAATCTAAGTTCATGACGTTTTTCACATTTCCTTCTAAGAACTTAATAGTTTTAGGTTTTAAATTCAGGTCTTTGACCCATCTCTGTTATATTTATATATAGTGTACAGTAGGGGCTCCAAATTCATTCTTGTGCTTATGGATATCCAGTAATACCAACAATATTCATTAAAAATACTTTTCCCTGCCTTGCCAAAAATCAATGAACCACACTGTACTGGCTTGCAATTTTTTTGCTAAATACAAAACTGTTCTAAAAGAAATAAAAATTTGTCTTAAAAAAGCCCCCTGGCAGGGGTGCCTGGGTGGCTCGGTGGGTTAAAGCCTCTGCCTTTGGCTCAGTTCATGGTCTCAGGGTCCTGGGATCGAGCCCTGCATCAGGCACTCTGCTCAGCGGGGAGCCTGCTTCCTCCTCTCTCTCTGCCTGCCTCTCTGACTACTTGTAATCTCTGTCTATCAAATAAATAAATAAAATCTTAAAAAAAAAAAAAGCCCCCTGGGATTTCTATTGGAATTTTACCTACAAGTCAATTAGGAAAGAACTGACATATAAATGTTAAGCTTTTCAGTTCATGAACATGGAATAACTTTCTATTTACATAGGTTTTTAATTTCTCCCAGAAATGCCATTTTTAGTTCTGTATGTAGATAGAGTTCTAACATTTTCTTTTCTGTTTAGTTTATTTGAAGAAATTTAAGTTTGTTGGCATCATTGAATTGTTTTTAGCGTGCCATTTGAATTAATCGATGCTACTAAAATTATATGTGGTAACTACTAAATTTACTCAGTTTTAGTAATTGTTTTGAGGGTACCTTAATATTTTCTATGTAAACAATCAAATATTCTGCAAATAGAGAAAGTTTTATTTCCTTTTTTCAAGGGATCATGTTTTTTCAAAAGTTTCTCACTTTATTGCAATATCTAAATACACTAAGACAGTGTAGAACAGATTTAGTGACAAGTACCATTGACACATTCTTGGTCTGAGAAGGAAAGTATTCAAATATTCAAAATATAAATGGTTAACATAATTTAATTGCAATTATTCAGTGTGAAATTCTGATTTAAGATCATTAAAGAAAAATTAAAAATTCACACTTAGAGATTATCAGATAAAACTTCCAATTAAATATTGTAGAAATTATCACTTCAGTTTGGTTAGAGAAGTTAATGAAGACCTGAGAATTTTTTTTTAATTTTATTTATTTATTTGACACAGAGGTCACAAGTAGGCAGAGAAGCAGGCAGAGAGAGAGAGAGAGAGGAAACAGGCTCCCCACTGAGCAGAGAGCCCAATGCGGGGCTCGATCCCAGGACCCTGGGATCATGACCTGAGCTGAAGGCAGAGGCTTTAACCCACTGAGCCACCCAGGTGCCCCAGACCTGAGAATTTTTTAAGTGAAAATTTCCTTTTATTGAAATATGTATATATAATATAATTCCATAAATTTAAGCAAATGAAACATTATAATTTTTTAAAAAAGAAAAATTGAATTCTACTTTTTTAAAACAAGTTGAGAGAGCGAGAGAACAATAGACCACAAGCAGGGGTAATAGCAGGCAGAGGGAGAAGCAGGCCTCTCTATTGAGCAAGGAGCCCCATGTGGGACTCAGTCCCTGGATACTGGGATCATAACCTGAGCCAAGGACAGACGCTTAACCAACTGAGCCACCCAGACACCCCCTAATTGAACTTTTAAATGTGAATATTAATTCCTCATAGTTAAATGTATAGGGAATTCTTCTCTAAAGTTGCATTAAATATGATATCATATTACATTGAAACTTAAAAGTTCATAAATTGTATACATGAATTCAATATGGTTTAAACCTACACTTAAAATGTTACTCTAATGGTTAAATATCTTTACAGATATGACACAGGCAAGATAAATAAAAAGGTATATAAAAATAGAAACCTAGAATATGCCAAGTATGGATGGTAGAGCAATATAGCCTCTGTACAAATTTCCCTAGTAAAATGGGGCAATTTACTTTCTCTTTGTCCAAATTAGATCACTATAAAATAAAGATAGCACCACTTTTATGTAAAGATAATCATTGTTTTAGTTATGGAGAAAATTAAGTTATGTGTGTGTATACACCTATATAAAATACTGACAAGGGTGATGATACATAATGTTTACTATATAAAGGTGCAAATTATTAATATTCTTAAAATATCTACATACTAATTAAATTACTTAAATCTCAATAAGGATCAAAGGCATTCACCTTAATATATTAAATGCCAAGTTCTCATCCACAGCCGTAAAATTTCAAAATGCTGACCATTCTGTATATAACTTTGAATGTTGCTGGCTGTACAAATTGTGTTCATTTCATCTTAGTTTCTTCCTATATTCCATGACTATTGTTTTATATCTGTACCTTCAAGATTTTTGATGACTGAAATATATTTCGCCATTCTGTCGATTCAATGTGTTCTGCTTTTACCAAGGAAAAGTAAGATGCAAAGCAACTACAGACAAGCATAATGTAATTATAACCCCTTAAAAGTTACTCAGAACAACTACCTCATGATTTTTAGGATGATTTCCTGACATAAATTACATCACACTGTATGGGTTTTATTTTCTCTTTTGCATTTGATAAATACATTTGATAAATACACTACAGCATATTAAACACCCAAAGTTTTTAAGGATACAAAATGTTTCTCTACATATCAGTTATTTATTTTCCTCTGATTGCTTTAAATACTTATATTATTTCAAAACCATTTGGATATGAAAATTAAAGTATTCATCACTTTGTAATTATAGCTAGTGGCACAGAGAAGTAATATGAAGATAGCATTCAGCTAGGTAGTTGATCTTGGCTGTGTAAAAGAATTGTGGTTAATATACTGAAATAGAATTTGCTCAGACCATTTTGTCAGTATTTTTCAAACTCCAGGTTGTGACTCTGTGTCAGTGCATAGTGCATTATCACAAATTTTACATGAAATTATAGTTACTATTTGATTAACTTAGTCCACATTGTGTGAAAAGGGAATAGTGTTGATGGTGGGGAAACTCGAGGAATGTGAACATTTCCTAAGGGCTTATTTGCTTGGGGTTATTGGGTATGAATATTGATATTTTTAAAGTAGATACCATTATGATCATACTATACCTTAAAATTTACTCCACTAGCTACATTTCAAAATTGTCTTAATAAATATAGATTATATGAGATAACTTAATCTTCACTTATGATGTCAGAGAAGTGCTTGGGTTCAACTTTTTTTGTTTATATTAAAAATGAAAGAGAATTAGATCAGTTTATTTTTGAGTTCACTATTATTTTTTGGCATCATTTTAATCATAACACTCTGAAAATGATATTATCATATGCAAAGGATAACTGCACTTATTTGAGGGTTGAGAGGGTAGTGAGAAGAATACCATAGCAATCTTTCTTCCTCAAATATTTTTTACTGTTCTGCAAGATTGAGATTCAGAAATGTCCATCTGATTTTGTTTGTTACTTTTTTTCATGTAATACAAACCCTCTTATTAATGCCTGAGCTTGTGAGACAAATATCATCTCTTACCTATCACCCCGTCCTTAACACTCATAGACACACACAACACAAACACTCATTCTATGGTCTATGAAGTGACATCTGTAGTCTAATCTCACTAAAGTCCTTTTTTTTTTTTCTTTTAGAGGAAAGCAAGAATACAGTCCCCATTACCACAAATTTTGCAGTTCACTTTCCCACATTTGGGGAAATCGCACATCAAGAGTGCAATGAGTAAGCCTTGCCCTGCGAAAAAACACCTTCTTGATCATGGTATCTCCCCTGACAGGTAAGTATCACAGAAGTCTTTTTATGTTGTATTCCCTTGTCCATGCATTTACCCAAACTGTTCACTCTGGAATATCCTTTCCTTTAGTTTTACTTGATGGTGACTTCTCAGTATTCATCTTTAGAGAAATTCTTTTAATTTTCATTTAAAATATGATGGCATGTTGAACATCTGTGCAATATTTCTGCTTGCTAAATAATGAATAGCAAGATGTGTAATTTTCTACAGTTTACTTCTGTGACAGGCATAAGGAGTGTAGTAGAAAAAACATTTCAAAATTAGATAGAAAAATATATTTAAATGCCACTTCTAATGCATTTAAACACCCATACGAACCCTTGGTTTGTAATGTAATCTTGGACAATTTCCTTAATTTCTATGAAAACCATATCCTAATTAGTAAATGTTAAATTATAAAAGAGCAAATTAATAAGAATTAAAGTAAAATTTGAAATTTATAAACAGTTATAATTTTCAAATGTATTAGTTAAAATATCACAACAGTGTCTTTTTCTTATGAGTCTGAATGTTCACAGAATTTAAATACACTTTCTAAACCAGTTGAAACATAAATGTTTTAATAATAGAAATAAATGATCAAATTGAAACCACAAAAATTGATTTTAATTATTAATAGTTGTGGCCAGCATATAATTCTTAAATTATACTACTAAGGATTTGATTCCAGTGACAAAAAGATCTAAACTTGTTTTTATCTTTTGAAGCAAAGGATATTTAATTATTTACTTATTTATTCCAAGGTAAATTAACATTATTAAATTATCATATTTTGTTCTATATATTATATATGAGAACTTAACTCTATACTCTGCAAAATAATTATGACTTCACTGAAATCCTATTCATGAATAATTTTTTTTCTATGCATTTAGGAAAAACTAACCTCATTTTTTGTTAATGTGTTAACTCAAACCTTCAGTTGCAATTTGGGCCCTGCTGGTCAGTTCTTAAACTACCAACATACATACAGTGAAAACCATCCTAAATAGCATAATACAGGCAGTAAATTCATTTGTATTTAATCCATGCACAGCATATTTCTAGAATGTGGGTTCTAATTAGAAGAAATAGAGATAATGAGTACTTTGTGATTATTATTATTATTTTTTAAAGATTTTATTTATTTATTTGAGAGAGAGAGAGACAATGAGAGAGAGCATGAGCAAGGAGAAGGTCAGAGGGAGAAGCAGACTCCCCATGGAGCTGGGAGCCCGATGCGGGACTCGATCCTAGAACTC